TTTAACTCCATTTGTTGCATGAACTTTTTGAAGTACCCTTGAAGTTCCTTTTTTCTCTTTATTTTTATAGCAGATTTAGTTTTACAGTGAAATTGAGCAGAAAGTAAAGATAGTTTTCATACCCTCCTCCCACCCACAAATACAGTTTCTCCTATTACTGACATGTTACATTAGTGTGGTACGTTTGTTACAATTATGAATCAATATTGATATAATGTTAATTTTATATTAGGGTTCCTTCTTTGTATTGTACAGTTCAATGGGCTTTGCCTAACGCATAATATCATGTATTAACCATTACAGTTTCATACAGAACAGTTTTGCTGCTCTACAAATCCTCTTGCTCCACATATTCCTCCTTTCCTCCCTCTCTTATCCCCTGCAATCCTGGCAACTACTGATTTTCTTTTCATTCCCTCAAACATTTCTCATTTCTTTGTGTTGGAAACATTCCAAATCCTCTTCTAGCTAATTGAAATTTTACATGAGTTATTAATCATAGTCACCCTACAGTGCAGTGGAACACTGGGTATTATTCCTCCTGTCTAGCTGTAGCACATATCTTGAATTCAGCAGGGCAGAAAAAGTATTGCAGTCTTAATCTACTCCTTAAAACAAAGTTGGGCAATCTGGTATTTGATGTGTCTTCCTCCACGATATTTAACACCCTTGAGAGGTCCTGGTAGTTGCATATAATAGGGAGTCAAGCCAATTTTTCTTGAAACAAAAATACAGCTCATGGTTCCTCTACTCTTTAAATCATCCCAATCATACCCACTCCCTCTCCTTTTGAGTATAAGATTATGCCTGTTTGCATTCTCTGATTCCCTAGAGCTGAATGGCCCTTCTGTCTATCACAACCTAGTAGGGAGATCTTTAGAATCCATTAAATGAAGCACGCACATGTTCATGACTGCCAAGTGCAGTTTCCTCACCATTATCATTCCTGTATCTCAATGTATTCATCTTTCAGTTACCATCAGGCCCTATTAAAAGTCTCTCTATTTCCACACGAGTCAGTGTCCATCCAAATTAGAAAGAAGTCTGGTGTCCGCCTGTTGGACAAACTTTAAGTATTTCCTCTGTGTCAGACCCTGTTCTGGGCAGGAAATCAAAGAAATGAGAGATGTCACAGATATCACAGAGGTAACATCTCATGAGGTTGCTTATGCCAACACACTTTTATCAGCCTTTCTTTTGTTTCTTCCTACTTCCCTGTCATGGTGAGTCACACTTCAAGCTCCTCTGGGTTTTTCTTAAAAAGAAGAAAAGCTCAGTGCAAAATTCATTCTCTCTGAGGCTACAGTGACCACTTTTCCTATTTGGACAGGAGATTCATCCTTGGCAGAAGAAGACTCAAGTAGAAGGGTCTCTAGCCCAGAGAAATAAACCTCATATGGCAGACTTAAAAGATCAGTGTGAGGCCTGTGATGTGTCTTGGAGCTAGATAGCAGATAGTGCTAAGGTGGCCGTTTGGCATAATGGGATGGAATCAGACTAGCTCGGGGGTCCAAGGAGTGTCAGCCCAGAGACAGCCCTTAGTTCCAAGTGGGCCACGAGATGTGTCTTGGAGCTAGATAGCAGATAGTGCTAAGGTGGCCGTTTGGCATAATGGGATGGAGTCAGACTAGCTCGGGGGTCCAAGGAGTGTCAGCCCAGAGACAGCCCTTAGTTCCAAGTGGGCCACGATAGTGTCCTGTGGTGCATGGCTCAGACATGCAACAATACCCCCCAAGTCCAAGGCTAAGAAAATGAAATCTGCAGCCAGAGTTCTTGGAACACTACAGATATGTCCTTCCAGAATCAAAACCAGAAAGAAGCATAGAAAGATAACATGACTCACTTTGTCAGCTTGACTTACGTTCTTATAAAAACATCTGGTGGCCAGATATTTAAATGACTTCTCACAGGGAATAATTGCAATTTGTGGTATGGGCATGCTGATAGTATTGACCTGGGCATCACATCTTGGGCACAAGTAGTGATGGTCAGCTTTGTACCTCATGAATGTGCATAATCAATAAATAAAGAAAAGTCATTTAGCCTGCCAACATTTTCAGAATGTCTTATCATGAACAATGAAATAAAATTTGAGCATTCATTGCTTTTTTAAAAGTTCTAAAATATGTTTAGAAAAAGAAAATGAATTATTATGAAATTGGGTAACATTACACTTAGGTAGCTTATACAAGATGGGCGGGCTCAGAGCTTGCAAATAATTCCTTCTCATAATTCCCTTTTTTCTCCAGCACCATCCCCGGAACCACCCAAGTAAGTACATTACACTGAAAAACACATGAAAAGATGTGGACTTGATTCAAAGACATCTTGATGTAGTGGAAAGTCTAAAATTTGGATTACAAAACAAAACAAAAAAACCCTAGCTTCTGATATTGATGCTGACATGTATAGTATTATATTAGGATTGTCACAGCTTCCTTGGGCTCACTGTTTTGAGAACAACCAGATTATGTATGGGAAAACACATGGTTTAGCATCTGGGATGAATAGAGCCTTAAATACTCTTTCATTCCTTGTTTCTCTCTCCAACTATAGTCAGACATCACTCAGAAGATGTATGTATGTGTGTGTAGGTGAATTTAGACCAGAATGAGATGGTGGATTAGGGAAAGTTTTAGCAGAGGTAATTTTTGTTCCAAAACCAACTGTCTGACTTTTTATTGACAATTCAGAAGTATATATGGGCAGGCTGAAGACAGAGGTAGCATGCTAGGCATCCAGATTGTGTTCCTGAGTAACAGTAATTAAAAGGATTTTATTTCACCTAAAACACACACACACACACACACACACACACATTCATGAAGTGACTTCTCAGTCAGTCATGCTCCGATTAGGATTCGTCTCGGCAAATGTGGAACTGAAAAGTACACAAACATTAGTTGAGGTCACTCCATCAAATAACTTTGCCCAGTGGATGAAACTTAAAACAAAGGACATGAGTCATAATACATTTTGTGATAACTTTTTCTTCTCTTTAGAAAAAAAAATATGTACAAAAAAAGCTAAGAGAGCCAACATGGAAGTGTCAAGAAAACATTCTGATAGATACAGACAAAGGAGCTCCTCTCAAAGGAGTTACACATCAGTTATCACCATGCTAGAAAAATGAGATGCGATTAAAATTCTAGAACAATTAAAAGCCACAAAGTGAAGCTGTTGCTGTGGGGCTCTATGTTGTAGATGCTCTGATTCCCTTTCGAATCAGACTAGCTCGGGGGTCCAAGGAGTGTCAGCCAAGAGACAGCCCTTAGTTCCAAGTGGGCCACGATAGTGTCCTGTGGTGCATGGCTCAGACATGCAACAATACCCCCCAAGTCCAAGGCTAAGAAAATGAAATCTGCAGCCAGAGTTCTTGGAACACTACAGATATGTCCTTCCAGAATCAAAACCAGAAAGAAGCATAGAAAGATAACATGACTCACTTTGTCAGCTTGACTTACGTTCTTATAAAAACATCTGGTGGCCAGATATTTAAATGACTTCTCACAGGGAATAATTGCAATTTGTGGTATGGGCATGCTGATAGTATTGACCTGGGCATCACATCTTGGGCACAAGTAGTGATGGTCAGCTTTGTACCTCATGAATGTGCATAATCAATAAATAAAGAAAAGTCATTTAGCCTG